AAATTAATTAAAAAATTACATATATTATACATTTTATATATTAAAAAACCCATTAAAAATTTAGAAATAATCTACATACATTTTAACATGGAGCATACTCGAACTTGTGCCTCCTCCACAATGGGCAAGATTACAAACCAGTTGATCCACCGCACCTGTTCTGTCAAAATGCTACACAACATTATATTTATTCATTTGGATTGACCCAGCGGTTTGAACGGTTGAACCAATTAAACCAGATAAACCGGGAACCGGAGATCAAAACGGTTTGACCTCCGGGTTGGTTTTTAAAACTTTGTTTAACACACACACCCAAATAAAAATTCAAAATATTGATAATCTAAAAAGAAAAGAATATATAAATTTCAAATAGATAAAATTACAAAATTCTTTTAAAAGAACAACCATCCTATATTCTATAAAAAATTCATAAAAAAGAATAATAAGATTAATAAAGAAAATGGTTTATACAACAATTTACATATTGGACAAAGAGGAAAAAGACAAATAAAATAAAAACACAGTATTATATTTAGTTACAATATGAAATAGGAAATAAAAAGAAAAATAATATTTGAAACTCACTATATTAGCAAAAAGAAATTAAAGAAATGAAGAGGAGAATATGATATATTGGTATAGAGAAAATAAGAGTTTATATTGTTAACGGCCACTCAAATTTTCAAATTATGAAAATGATGAAAAATTTGGTGTGAAAAATGTAAAAAGGAGTTCGTTAGTTATCTAAATTATGAGGTGGGATAAGTCACCTAAAACATGTTTTATATATATAATATGATTTGAAGGTATGATTAGAAATGAAGAAAGGCATACATGCACCTTACAATTCTCCGTATAAACACGATCGCATGCTTTAACATTTGAGATTTATTCAACTCGTTTATTGCTTTATTTCATTTTGATTAAGTAGACTTTAAAAGCAACTAGATGAAATTGCAATTCTTGAAAACCTTTGAACTCAATTCAAAGAAAATAAGAAAGAAGCAGCCAAATCATAACAAATTAAAAAAAATTAAGGAACTTATTTGAATAAATTCAAAAAATGGAAGACTAATTTGAAACAATTGAAAACTTCTGGACTAAATTGCTTGATCTTGAAAAGTTTTATGGAAAATTTAGAATTTAATAAAAGACAAGTTTGACTTGCAAAATTTTACTGTAATTAAACAAATTAAACAAGATTAAGGGTTTGTTTGGTACAGTGGTTAAAATTCAGCGGATAGCGGACAGCGGATAGCGGTAGTGGGTAGCGGATAGCGAATAGCAGTAGTGGGTAGCGGTTAGCGGATAGCGGTTAATAGATAGCGGGTAGCGGTTAGTAGATAGCGATAGCGGATAGCGGATAGCGGAAAGTGGGTAACGAATGATAAATAGCGGATTCGATAAATACAACTGTTTGGTTATATAATGGTTAGCGGTTGTTATTTAACATTAAATGACTAATAAGGATATGTTTAAAAACAAATAAGTATATTTTTTAAAATATTTTTATTTTTTATTATTAAAATTATTAATTTTATAAAAATAATAATAAAAAAATAAAAAATAAAATTAATTATAATAATGTAATTACACCCTCATTTTTATTTTTTTTTAAAAGTATATTATTTTTAAATAAAAAATGAATCATTTTGTCTAATTAACAATTTTTGTTTTTTAAGATAATATATTTTTTAATTATAAATTAATGTACAAAAAAATATTATAATTACTTAATGTTATTAAAGGTAAAAAACTAAAATTGAAATTTATTAGATAATTATTAATTAAAAAATGTGATCACAAATTAAAAAATTAAAATGGATAAATTTGTAAATAAAATTAAAAAATTTTAATCCGTTAGCGGTTCGGTACAAAAAGTTACATAAACTAGTTTTTTCAATCCTCTAACGGTTTGGACTCTCCCGCCATCCGCTAGTCTCAAACCACTAAATAAAAATTTTACCAAACACTTTATTTATCGTAGTTTCGAAATATGTAAATTTACCAAACACCTATATTCAGCGGTTTAAGTAAAACCGCTAACCACTACCCCAAAACCGCTAACTACTACCCCAAAACCACTATATCAAACGGGACCTAAGACTAATAAGTAATAACCAAATAATTGATTTAATTGAATAATTAATCACAAATTAATTAAAATTAATCAAAATAATTAATTACTTTAACTAACTTTTCATTAACATAATTAGATTTTTTTTTTTGAACAGCCATTAACATAATTAGATTAATCTAAATACCTTAATACCTTAATTAAAGCTAATCATTGTAATCAATTAATTTTAATTAAAATTAATCAAATCATTTAATCACCATTTAAATCAATTATTAAGATTTTATTATTATTATTTTTTTTTTTCAAGAAAGAAACAAATACAAATCCCATTCTTTCGTGAAGGGAACTCAGCTGCGGATTTTTATGGTTTCGGCTACACATCACCAATGGGAACTTGAAGATTTGCGCAATCACCAGTGGGGGCGGAAGACATCCTGTTAGAGGATAGGCTAGGCATTCCTTTTATGCGCCCTTAATCTAATTTGTTTCTATTATCCAATGAACCCAAAATATATATATATATATATATATATATATATATATATGTCCAGCACCATTTTTTTTTTTTTTTAACAACAGGATATAACCCAAGTCAGCAAATGAGGGAAAAGTTCATTATATTCGCCTCAATCTATATCATTTCCTCTCAAGAACAATAGCAACAATTCCAGTAAATAAGAAGAAACTGGCAGAGTTTTGGGTAGCTGATCGGAATCTGATCTGTTTACCCCTCCCACGGGATATGCCCAGATCATTCCCCTCACTGCTACCCAGAAATTCCTATGTTTGAGAGTATACCCAACCGGAAACGGAGCAACAAATAACTGTGTGGCTGCCGTGAGGCGGAGAAGAGTGGAGGTATGCCCTGGTCCCAGCCTAGCAGATCTGAAATGGAGTTTCTAAGGAGAAGTGCTGCTGTGAGGTGGAAAAGAAGACTGCAGATTTGTCCCACCTTTGTGTTTACCGCTGCACCCGAAAACCATAAGAAGACCCGCCTGAGCTTCGGTGATGGACAAAGAAAAAGAAAAGGTTCCGAAGATGAAAAGGTTTTTTTTTTTTTTTTTTTCTTCTTTGAGGCTATGGCGATGATATCGATAACCTGAGGGGGGAAGGAGATGGCTGCCGTGATGGGCATCGGAAAATCGTCCCGGTGGCCGTGAAATCGTGGTCTTGAAGGGAGAATAGTCGAGAGCTTTTTTTTTTTTTGTCCGGTCCCGTTTAGAGTTTTGCAAAGGCGGGTTTTTATCTTCAATAATAGACGGTGGGCCAGCCGGCGGCGGCCTTTTACTTGGGCCTTCATGGGCAAAATAAATAGGCCGATATAAATATATTAAAAATGGATTAATGTTTGAGTCCAAATTTGGCGGCCCATCATCATTTATTTTTCTTCTTCAATTCTACAATTTTTATCTGGATGTCTTCCACCTGCAGAAAAACTCTTGTCACATAAAAATTAAAATATTAGGACACATAAAATGAAAAAAT